AGCAAACAGGCAAAAGTTTGAACGTTTGAAGGGAAAGTTCTAACAGAAGTTTAAGTCCAGGTCAAGAGTTTCATTTTTGCGTTCTCACTCATGTCGTCTTTTCTCAGCGTGCGATGCAGCGATTCTCTGAACTGGAGCTGAAGGAGAACGAGGAAGGAGGAGGAGGAGAGGAGGACGAGGAAGAGAAGGTGATGATGACAGCAGTAGACAGCCAACAGAGAGACGCAGGGAGAGGAGAAGAAGAGGAGAAGAGTGAAGGAGGAGGAGGAAGAACTGCCTCTGCAGCCGCCGCTGAGGCAGCGACAAGTAAGAGGATTTACAGGGAGAGCTCTGCAGGATGACGTGCACAAGCACACACACACACACAAGCACATATACACAAGCAAACACGTACGCAAACACGCAGACACACACACGCAAACACACACACTCTCTCACAGTTGTTTTTTTTGTTGATTTCACTCGCTTAAAATCACTCGCTCTGTTTGTTTTTTTTCTGTGAATTCGGTGTGTGTGTGTGTGTGTGTGTGTGTGTGTGTGTGTGTGTGTGTGTGTGTGTGTGTGTGTGTGTGTGTGTGTGTGTGTGTGTGTGTGTGTGTGTGTGTGTGTGTGTGTGTGTGTGTGTGTGAGAGACACACACACACACACACACACATTTGAACTCTGGGTGCACTTCGCTCTTTTCAAGCCGAGCTCAGCGCTGCCCTCATTTTCTCGAGGAAGCTGAGAGAGAAAAACATTTAGACTCAAAAAAACTCTCCGAAACACTCAGATTAAAACTTCTGGATAAATATGGAGACATCAGCTGTGCATAAATATTTATTCTTTGAAATCCCCAGATGAGGAGGAAAACAAAGAGGAGGAAGGAGGAGAGGAGAGACAAATGGATCTGTCTCCAGGCCGAGGCCTCTCTCCTGGACTCTCAGGTTCAGACTTCAGGAGGAGAATCTTCAGTCTGGAGCCGTTTCACCAGAGCAGCATCACCAGCAGCCGGCTGAAGAGAGGGAGGGAGGAGGAGCAGGAGGACGAGGAGACGGGTAACAAACACAAAGGGTTTCCAGATGTTCCTCCTTTGAAGTTTAACTTATAAATATTAAAGAAGAGAAAAACCTGTGGAACACAGAAACATCTGTCATATAAAAACCATCTAAATGTTTTTTTCTCCCCAAAATATCCATCCAGACATTAAATCTGGTGTCCCACATGGTTCTGTACTGAGTCCACTTATTGTCTTATTTGACTGAACACATTTAAACGAGTAGATAAACTTTGTATTCATCGCTATGCAGACGACACTCACCTGTTCCTTTATCCCTTTGTCCTCATTTATCGTTTTGAGTCCTCTCAGCATTTTTTTTTCTTTTTTTTCTTTTACCAGATTATTTTGAACTTGGCGTCCGTGTTTGGTTGTTTGTTTGTTGACTGTTTGTTTGTTGGTTGTTTGTTTGTTGACTGTTTGTCTGTTGTTTGTCTGTTGACTGTTTGTCGGTTGTTTGTCTGTTGACTGTTTGTTGTTTGTCTGTTGACTGTTGGTTGTTTGTTTGTTGACTGTTGGTTGTTTGATTGTTGACTGTTTGTTTGTCTGTTGACTGTTTGTTGGTTGTTTGTCTGTTGACTGTTTGTTGTTTGTCTGTTGACTGTTGGTTGTTTGTTTGTTGACTGTTGGTTGTTTGATTGTTGACTGTTTGTTGGTTGTTTGTCTGTTGACTGTTGGTTGTTTGTCTGTTGACTGTTTGTTGGTTGTTTGTTTGTTGACTGTTTGTTTGTTTGTTGGTTGTTTGTCTGTTGACTGTTTGTTGGTTGTTTGATTGTTGACTGTTTGTTTGTTGACTGTTTGTTGGTTGTTTGTTTGTTGTCTGTGTTTGTGGTTTGTATGTTGGCTGTTTGTTTGTTGTTTGTTGGTGTTTGTTGACTTTGTTGGTTGTTTGTCTGTTGACTGTTTGTTTGTTGACTGTTTGTTTGTTTGTTGTTTGTTGGTTGTTTGTTGACTTTGTTGGTTGTTTGTTGACTTTGTTGGTTGTTTGTCTGTTGACTGTTTGTTGTTGTTTGATTGTTGACTGTTTGTTTGTTGTTTGTCTGTTGACTGTTTGTTGGTTGTTTGTCTGTTGACTGTTTGTTGGTTGTTTGTCTGTTGACCGTTGGTTGTTTGTCTGTTGACTGTTTGTTGTTTTACGTCACAGACTCGACCCCTGAGGACGTGAAGAAGCTGAAGGTTTGCATCGAGCTGAACGGCCTCAGACTCAACAAACCCCGCCTTCCTGGGGAGCTCAACCAATGGCTGCTTCCCAGCCAGAGGTCAGTAGAGCCGGACAGGAAGTTCAGGATGGACGTCCCTGGTTTCAGAGCACCCAACAGAGGCTGGAGTGACCCGATGACCACGAAGAGGGATGACCTGAGAGGTAACGCCAACTTATTTCTTGTTTATTATTTATTTTCTTATTTCTTTGCCCCGCCCCCCCGGCGCTGCCAGCTGTTTCCTCCCCCAGGTGTGCTCAGGTGT